AGACGAAAAGAGAGAGGGAGAGAAAAGGAAAGAGAAGAGGGGGGGGGGATAATGTGTTCAGACATGAGAGGGAGAGAGAGCAGAAGAGAAACAAGGTGGACAGTTAGGGGAGAGGCAAGGAGGTAGCCGAGGCAGCCATTACCTCCCCATAGTCAGTGTAGCTTGGATGACGGGTAGCAAGAGAGGCTGGAGTAAAGACGCAACTTTGCGCAGTGCTATCCACATCAATGCATCCCATTACCTCCCCATATCCAGGATGACGGGTAACAAGAGAGACTCGAGTGAAGTGCAACTTTGCAGAGTGTGACTCACAAACACCATGCGGGCTGGGGCAGCCATTCAAGGTCGCAGGAAGATTACATGTGGCCGCAGCCAGATCCCAGTTTTTTGCCTTCCAGAAAATTGGCTAGGCGCAGAATCAGGTAACCCCCACATAATGTCATGAGCGACTTCTTACCCCTCCACACACGAGTTTGCAGTTCATAACCCGTTCAGATGCTGTTGGACTTGTAGCATTTGAAGTCATACTCACCAAACAGTGCTGAGTATTGCCCCCATTTCCTGGATAAAATGGATGAAAAAGAACGAATGTTGAGAATTTTGCACTCATAGCATTGAAGTTCAGTGCTGAGTATTGTCCCCATTTCCCAAACAGTGCTGAGTATTGCCCCCATTTCCCAATGATTGAACTCTTTCGCACAGCATGTAAACTTGTGAAGTCATGCACAACTGTGTTGCTGCTTACCCTTTGTCTGACGATCATTGTTCCATTCTTCAACATCTCTTCCACATTGGTCACTAGCCTCCTGAACATTCTGTCGACTGCAAAACCATAAACATGGCTGAGAACCATAATTCACATAAGGAGGAACACCACTCCACATCGCAGTCACTCCTTTGCTGATAGGCTTTTCTACAAATTTATTCCTTTTGTTACGATCCTGGTCATTTCCCAAGTGCAAATTCACAATGAAAGACAATGCCACCCAATTGCGAAAGAAATGAAAGCACTTGCAAAGAGATAATGACCAGAGGGGAGAGAAAGAAGAAGAAGAAGAAGAAGAAGAAGAAGAAGAAGAAGAAGAAGAAGAAGAAGAAGAAGAAGAAGAAGTACACCAGCAAGACCAATGACAA